GTGCGATCTGTGCTCACTGCAAGCTTCTGCCTCCCGGGTTCAAGTGGTGTCCCCGGTCTCAGCTCTGGAGTAGCTGGAACTACAGGTGTGTGCCCACATGCCTGGCTAATTTTTTTGTATTTCGGTAGAGATGGGGTTTCACCATGTTGCTCAGGATGTACTTCATCTCCTTGACCTCATGATCCGCCCGTTTGTAGGCCTCCCAAAGTGCTGGGATTACAGGGTGAGCCACTGCACCGCGGCCCCATATGCTATTCTTAACAATAAAAAGGCTTTTAGAAGTTTGTCTTTGGCGAGGCTGAAGTGATCACCTGAGGTCAGAGTTCAAGACCAGCCTGGCCAATGTGTGTGAAACCCGTCTCTACTAAAAAATACCAAAAAAACCCAAAAAACAAAAACAAAAAAAACAAAAAACACTAGCTGGACATGGTGGCGAGCATCTGTAGTCTCAGTACTTTGGAGCGGAGGGCAGAAAATATGTACGGACGGCAGAGGTGCAGTGACCGAGTCGCTGCCCAGCACTGCTAGCCGTGTTGACAGAGCAAGACAGCTTCCAAAAAGAAAAAAAAAAACTGGAGCCTGTTAGTGTGGTGGGCTCGATGCCGTTCAATCCCAGCACTGGTTAGGGAGGCCTGAGGCAGGAGGATCGCTTAACGCAAGCCCGAGTTCATAAGTTACAATGAGCTATGAGCTGCATATCAGGTCGTGGGAGATACGACTGAGACCTGTTCTAAAAGAAATAAGGGGCAGGCGGGTGGAAAAGGCCGGCTCATAAGGGTAGTATTAGGAGGTGAGGCTGTTTTGCCGTGTTGGCCAGGCTGGTCTTGAATTCCTGACCTCAGATGATCCACCTGCCTCGGCCTCTCAAAGTGCTGGGATTACAGGGGTGAGCCACCACGCCCAGCCCAAAGCAGGGTACTTCTGAGAAATGAGGCAATATTAGTAATTATGCCAGCGCAGCAGGCATAAATCAAAACTGCCACCCCACCCTTCCAGAACTTAGACAGGGCCCAGGAGTCTGGTTTCCCATCAGGCCTCTTATCTGAACGGGAAGCCCTGCGAGGGCAGGAACTGCCTTTCCTATATAGAGCTTGCTTATTTCTGGAGGGCTCAAATCTACTTAAAGCAATGCTCACACCACTGAGAGACGATCACGTCTAACACTGATTCATCACTTAGGAAGAGCCAGGTATTGTGCTGAGGACTTCACATGCATCACCTGAGTTAATTCTCACCAAATCCTTACGAGGTAGGCGGATTTATTATTTTCCACTGAGGAAACTAAAATTTAAATTGGTTAACTCCTTCAAGGCCACACATTTTGGGTGGAAGAGCAGGGACTGAAATCAGATGAGGATTTGAACCCTTGTTCTCAATTACTACTCATACCAGTGCCTCTGTTTTTGTTGAGCCTCCCCCTGCCTGCCCCCACGCTGGCGTGCAGCCGGGACCATGGACATCCCAGAGGCTGCCCAGCCGGGGCACCTACAGCCAGCCCCTGGCTTCATACAAGCGCCAGTATGACAGCAGGTGGCAAGCTTGTCCTCTCCTCAAGCTAGCACTGGAAGGGCTGCTTACTGGGGAGGCCGAGATGGGTGGAGCTACCATTCTGACGCCTGCAGGCCCCTACCAAAAAGAATCCTGCAGGGAGCTGGACGAGGAGCACCTCACACTGCCAGTTCCCTGCCAGGCTACCCTCTGTAGCCGGTTTGAGGGCTCGGTGAGGTTTTGAACTGCAACTAACGGCCACAGATGTCAATGCTGGAAAGGCCCTACGATGCATTTAGTTGATTTTCCAACTTTGCCCAAAGCCATCTCTACTACTCGCCCCCCAAGGCTGGTTTAAGTTGCTTCTACTCAAGAGCATTAGCAGCCTGAGTTCCATGTGTATGTAGCCCAGGCATGGGGCAGGGCTGCACAACATTCCGTCAGCATGCAGCACAGAGGCCCAGAGAGGAAAGGAGACTGCTCGGAAGCGGCAGTGCCGCGCGAGTGCCGCGACCCAGGTCCCCGCTACGTCCAGAGCCTGCGTCACCAGGACTCCTCCCCTAGGCCGGCAGCCCAGCCCGAGACCCCAGCTGGTTCTAAGACAGCCCCCACGCCCCCTAGTGCGCAAGCTCAGTAAGACCCCGCCGCGCACCGCCCACCGCCCACATCCGGCCCCTGCGTGGGAGCTCGCGGGGGAAACTGAGGCGAGGGCGTGCCAGTGAATTCATTCCTTCCTCAGTCCACCCGCAGGCCTACAAAGCTCTCTCCCCCTCCTCAGCGCCACAAGGCACAGCAGGGACGGATGGGAAGAAGGGGAGGGGGCCGAAAGCAAGCCGGGTGCGAGGAGCCAGCCGATTCTGCCACACTCAAGATGGCGGCACGGCCGTGGCGAGGTCCCTCAGAGGCGGTACCAGCGCATGCGCAGCGCGGAGTCCCGGCCCGGGACACAAGATGGCGGCAGCGGCGCTGGGGAGGGCGAGGCGGAGGCGGCAAAACGGGCGGTCGAGCAGAACGTGTAGCCGCGTCCCCTCGAGTCCGCTCCGGGCAGGTAAGAGTCCCAGGAAGCCATGGTCCCGCAGCGAGCCGCGCCAGGGTCTGGGGATCCGAAGCTGGGCGGCGGCGGCCCCTCCGGCGCTTTCTGCTCGGGGCTGCCTCTTGCCCCATCTCTGTTGCCGCCGCCATCTTAGACCCGCGGGTGGGCAGCCGCGCCGGTGGCCGAAGTGAGGGAGGTGGGCCCGAAGAGCCCGAGCGGAGCGGCCTCTAGGGCCCCTCCGCTGCTGCCGCCGCCACCGCCTTTGTGTCGGGCTCCGACTCTGAGTCGCCTCAGCCCGGGGGCGGGAGCGCGCGGCGGGGCGGGGGGCGGAGCCCGGGAGATGGGCCGGCGCGCGCGCGCGCCAAACAGCCCACCCTCGCTGAGGTGGGGGGAGGGGAAGGTACGCGCGCGCGCGCGCTGTGGTTTGCCAATTTTCGCCCTCGCGGCTGCGCACTTTGTTCGCCCTTTGACTCCTCCCTACTGGGCCGGAGAATTCTGATTGGTATATTACGGAGAGGGTTCCGCCCCACCTGCCTCCAATCCCGGATTCGGACTCTGGCTTCTGGTGGGTTCCTCTGGTTGCGCAGATACAGTTGTTTATTCTTGAGTAGCGGTAATTGTCAAACTGCGGTATGCGTGGGGGTCGGGAAGCCACAGGATAAATAAAAATGTTATCTTAAGAGCAGTTATGTCTTACTGGGAGCGTACAATGCTGGACTCTACACATAACGGTCGAGTGATTCCGGTTTATAAGCCGGGAAGCAGAAGGGCCTCGAATCCGGGTCTGTCCAACCCCAGGGCTGGTACTTCGGCCACAGACCTGCTGCACTCAAGTCACATAGGGAATTAAAAATGGTTTTAATCGCAAAAAATGGCTAAATTTTTTCAAATACTGTGAAAAAATGAGTCATTCTGTCTCCCAGTCACTCTTAGGGTGCGTTTTAAAAATACAGATTCTTGTGTGCCTCCCCTCCGTATTTCTGGCTCCTGAGATGCTCAGTGAGGCACAGGCGTCTTAATTTTTTTTTTTTTTCCCACAAACTCCGAGATGATTCTGATGCACAGCTGGCTTTGGAAATACTGCAGTGTCCCCATTTAGCCTCACACTAAGGTGTGCCGCTTGTGCGTATTCTGCGAAGTTCATCTACCCGGTGCATCAATATCACAGGATGTTTTGTTTCTTGGGAAAAACGTTTTTCAATAAAGGCGAACAAGATGTGTCATATAAGGCGTTTGCATGTTTTTATTTTTGCAAGACGTTCAGAGCGTGTCCTTTCATTTGCTATGGGAGGCTTGGGATTGTGTCCCCCAGATCAGTGATATGTATGTTTGTTGATTTTTCTCTGGTCTAAGGGTACTTTATTTTTTAAGAGACGAGGTCTTGGCCGGGCGCGGTGGCTCACGCCTGTAATCCCAGCACTTTGGGAGGCCAAGGTGGGCAGATTACCTAAGGTCAGGAGTTTGCTGACCCACACGGAGAAACCCCGTCTCTACTAAAAATACAAAATTAGCCAGGTTTGGTGGCGCATGCCTGTAATCCCAGCTACTCGGGAGGCTGAGGCAGGAGAATCGCTTGAACCTGGAAGGTGGAGGTTGTGGTGAGCCGAGATCACGCCATTGCGCTTCAGCCTGGGCAACAAGAGTGAAACTGTCTCAAAAAAAAAAAAAAAAAGATACACTAAAAAAAGAAAAAAAAAAAGAGATGAGGTCTTGCCCTGTCACCCAGGCTGGAGCACAGTGGCATGATTATACTTCACTGCAGCCTCGAGCTCCTGGGCTCAAGTGACCCTTCCACCTCAGCCTCCTGAGTAGCTGGGACTGCAGGTGCTTTTTTTTGTTTGTTTTATTTGGGCCTGGCGCAATGGCTCACACCTGTAATCCCAGCACTTTGGGAGGCCCAGGTGGGTGGATCTCTTGAGGTCAGGAGTTCGAGACCAGCCTGGCCAACATGGTGAGACCCCGTCTCTACTAAAAGTACAAAAAATTTAGCCAGGTGTGGCTCATGCCTGTAATCCCAGCTACTCGAGAGGCTGACGCAGGAGAATCGCTTGAACCCAGGAGATGGAGGTTGCAGTGAGTTGAGATCATGCAGTGTACTCCATCCTGGACAACAGAGTGAGACTATCTTAAAACCAAACAAAAAGTTTTATTTGTCGTAGAGCTGGGGGGGTCTCACTATGTTGCCAAGGCTGGTTTTGAACTCCTAGCCTCAAGAAATCCTTCCACCCCGGCCAAGTTGCCGAAGCCACCATGCCCAGCCTAAGGGTACTTAAGTTGGCAGGACTGGCTACAGAGTTTGTGGGGCCCAGTGTGCAAAATGAAAATGCGAGCTCCTTGTTAAAAAGTTATTAAAAATTTTAAGACAGTGACAGCAGAGCCTCAAACCAAGCTCAGGGCTTTCCTGAATGTGGGTCCCTGTGCAGTCGCGCAGGTCACGTGCCCATGAAAGCAAACCTATTGGTGAGAAAGCTTAAGAGGTATCATTTTCATCTCCTGTATTCCCTCATCCCCTCTCCCGATGTGTCCTGCGCTGGATCCCCCCAGCTTGCTCTTTGTTTTTGCCCCTCTTGTTGTCCCCGCCCTGCAGCATCCCACAGGTCTGTGACTGTCTATTTTCCTATTTGCTTTCCAGCTGCTGATGCAAGGAATCCCCTGGGGCCCCGTGCACTTCACTGCTGACCAGCCCATCCGTCTGTGCTGAGTCTTCCTGCAGGCCTTTTCTCGCCTCTGTGGGACCTTGTGGGGGTCCATCCGGCTGGAGAAGAAAAGCCTCTCATGCTAGCATTGCAGACCCCAGAGGGTGAGAGAAAGGGGGACTTCATTCAGTCTTGAAACCTGTGGGCTCAGCCCCTAAGGCACCAGGAATTCTTCCTGCCCAGAGAATCCAGGCAGTTTCGTTTTTTTCATACCTTGGTCAGTGGTTCTCAACCTTTTTGTTATCAAGGCCCTGTTTGTTGTACATTAATGTCCTGTTGCTCCCTGCATTTTTATCTGCCAAACTGTACCAATGGAGTAACCATTCACTTTTCCCTTTCTAAATTAATGAAGAAGTCTGTGACGGAGTGTACAATAAAATCAGTGTCCCAATGATTCCTCTGATGTCGTCAACAACCAATCAGAGCTTCTGATCAGCATGAGAAAATCAGTGTGACCACAATGAGTTGATAAAATTTCAGCATGAAAAGATAACTGATGTTTAAGCCTGCCTTTGTGGTCTTGTTGTGGGTAAAAGTTTGATTTCTTTTGGGAAGTGTGACCTACTGAAAACAAATTTAGCATCATCAAGTCTGTCTTAGCTCCCAGTTGTCTGACAGCCCCAGGCCAGAAGCACTTTGGCTTCTGAGGCTCCTGCTGGGCATGCTTTGGGTGGGGGAGTAGGGAATACAGATCTGAAGGAACTGGCCTCCTTGCTGGTACTTACAGTAAATGTTCACCTGGGGATTATGAAGGAGTCATTTAGATCGTCCTTCTCAGTTGCATTGGTTGTTTTAGCAACAGCTGCTTCCTGCCATGTAATGTAAAATAAGGTGACCAATTAGATTCCATGCCCTTCCCTAGTGTGCTTTGTTCCTTTTAGATTTTACTGGATAGAAGCAGTAAAATCCCATCTCCTCCTGAAAGTTGTTACTATTCCTTCTTGTAGGAATCGCTTCTCAAGGGCAGATCTTGTTCTGTCTTGTTTGCTGCTCTTGGTGCTTTGTAAATATTTGCAGAATCAATAGTGCTTCTGTTGGGTCCAGGTCCTATGCCTGAGCCCAGGAGAGAGTTGAATTGGACCCAGTTCCTATTTCTGGGAGTTCTGACAGTTTAATGGGGAGACAAACCCAGCTGATAGACCAGACCATCTGAGTGCTATGACAGAGGTGTTCACGGCCCTGAGGAGGAGCTCTGACCACCTGACCTCGGGAGGGGAGAGTCAAGGAAGGCTTCCTGGAGGATGTGAACACAGTAGCAAGCCAGGCAGAGAAGAGGGGGAGGGGAATTTTAGGCAGAGGAAGCAGCAGGAGTGCACCCATTGAACAATTGGAATTGCAGCTTAGATCCCAGGGTTGCTGTGTGGCACCATGCTGGCTCTCCAGGACAGGACCTGATTGGATTTCTCCACATCCATGGGTGGTCACTGGGGCCCTGGGTGGATTGTAATTGGCGGGTGAGGGGGTGGAGCTGACACTCTTCGGTCCTCTGTGTGGCAGGTCCTTTGTGGGTGCGGAGATGGCCAATGAGAATCACGGCAGCCCCCGGGAGGAAGCGTCCCTGCTGAGTCACTCCCCAGGTACCTCCAATCAGAGCCAGCCCTGTTCTCCAAAGCCAATCCGCCTGGTGCAGGACCTCCCAGGTACTGAGGGGGAGCAGCAGTGGGGTGGTGGGGTAGGAAGGACACCCTGGGAGTAGCCCTGACCCTGGCTGGGCCCCATGCCTGTTTGCAGAGGAGCTGGTCCATGCAGGCTGGGAGAAGTGCTGGAGCCGGAGGGAGAATCGTCCCTACTACTTCAACCGATTCACCAACCAGTCCCTGTGGGAGATGCCCGTGCTGGGGCAGCACGATGTGATTGTGAGTGCCAGCCTAGGGTGGGGGGTCTCAGAGTGGCTTCTGGCACCTGGGCCTTCCCCAAATGTACCCTGAGGAGCCAGCCGTTCAGTGCCCAACCCTGTGCTGGCACCTGCAGATACAATGACAAGCAAGACACACACAGTTCCTGCCCTCATGGAACCTACACTCAGATGGGGTAGACTGACAAGTAAACAGATGATTGCACGGCTGCTGCGCGGTGGGTGCTGCGCCGCAAGGCAGGAATGAAAAAGGCAGACTTGCTCCCTGCGGTCGCAGAGCACCCATGGGCTGCCAGCAGACAGTAGGATGACAGTTGTGGTCCGTGTATGAGGAAGTGTTATAGTACATCTGGATCCTGACCTACTCTGGGAAAGGCAAGATGATGGGAAAAGCCCTGAGAATGAGTGTTTAAGGCGAGAGGGTTAGCGAGTGTGTGTGGGGAGGAAAAGAACATTCTAGGATCTGACATGTCAGTACGATGGGAAATACAGGCATGGGCTGTTTGGCGGGAACATGGGCTTTTGGATCCTTCTCAGTTGGGGCAGCATGTCTTTACTGGGCACAGTCAAAATAGTTGGCATCTCCATTTTGCATGTGAAGACACTGAGGTTCAAAGATGGGGAACCACTGGTGCAAAACCTCACAGTTAGTAATAGGCAGAGCAGGACGCGCATCTGATGTGAGTTCAGGGCTGCACTACTCACCGCTATGCGTTCTCTGGGTGTTACCAAGAGTCCTATCTGCAGGGCTTTGCTTTTTACACCAATAAGCAGTTTTTGAGCTTTTCCTTTATTCCTTTCATTCTGTTCTTGAGGAAAATAATGTGTAATGTGTACTGATCTCATGCCAGATGCCATGTTAAGCAAGTCATGTTCACTGACTCATTTAATCTCAGTGGTCATGTAGGGCTTAGCATGGCCATTCTGAAGGTAAGAGAACTGGAAGGGAAGTAACACACCCTGTCGCAGTTGCAAGTTGCAGGCAAGACTGGAGCCCAGTGTTCTCTGCCTGTATCCCAGCCCCTCTGCTCTTCTCTAAGGAGTAGGAGCAGGGGTGGGAGGGCCTGAGGATTCAAAGTCCTGGGGCTCCTAAGCCGCTGGCCCTGGTTGCAACTCTGCTGGTCTCCCTCCACCAGTCGGACCCTTTGGGGCTGAATGCGACCCCACTGCCCCAAGACTCAAGCTTGGTGGAAACCCCCCCGGCTGAGAACAAGCCCAGAAAGCGGCAGCTCTCGGAAGAGCAGCCAAGCGGCAATGGTGTGAAGAAGCCCAAGGTGAGTGTCTGCGGGCAGGAACCGGCTGCTGAGCAGCCAGCTCAGATGGGCAGCCCGCAGGCTCCCTGCAGGGGCTAGGCGTCGGCAGACCAGCCAGGAGGGGGGCCGGGGACACAGTTCACCAGGTGTGCACTGTATTGGATGGAGCCTCTCTGGTGAATCTCCTGACTTGACACCTTTGTGACTTTCACTACAGATTGAAATCCCAGTGACACCCACAGGCCAGTCGGTGCCCAGCTCCCCCAGTGTCCCAGGAACCCCAACGCTGAAGATGTGGGGTACGTCCCCTGAAGATAAACAGCAGGCAGCTCTCCTGCGACCCACTGAGTGAGTCCCCGCTGATTGGCTTGGGGGCACCCACTGCTAGCGTCAGCCTGTCTGGGACTGTGGGGTGTGGTGTGGGTGGCCAGGGCATCTTTATCACTCCTCTCTGTGCCCCAAGGGTCTACTGGGACCTGGACATCCAGACCAATGCTGTCATCAAGCACCGGGGGCCTTCAGAGGTGCTGCCCCCGCACCCTGAAGTGGAGCTGCTCCGCTCTCAGCTCATCTTGAAGCTTCGGCAGCACTACCGGGAGCTGTGCCAGCAGCGAGAGGGTACCTGCCTCTGGGCTGCGGCCTCCTTTATTTCCACCCACCTTTAGCAAGAGCCAGGCTTGACCAGGCCAGCTTGGGAATGGTGAAGTGGGGCCCCGTGGTGAGCCATGATCACGCCAATGCACTCCAGCCTGAGTGACAGAGCAAGACCCTGTTTCAAAAAAACCAAAAAAACAAAGAGTATTTATACCTTAGGATTCTATGACAAGGATTAAGTAAAATGGATAAGTATTAAATAAACTGTAGTTTTAAATTTTTTTTTTTTGAGACGGAGTCTCGCTCTGTAGCCCATGCTGGAGTGCAGTGGCACCATCTCTGCTCACTGCATCATCCGCCTCCCAGGTCCCGATTCAAGCAATTCTCCTGCCTCAGCCTCCCGAGTAGTGGGATTACAGGCGCACACCACCATGCCCAGCTAAGTTTTGTATTTTTAGTAGAGACGGGGTGTCACAGTGTTGGCCAGGCTGGTCTTGAACTCCTGACGTCGTGATCCACCCGCTTCAGCTTCCCAAAGTACTGGGATTACAGGCATGAGCCACCACACCTGGCCAATTTTTTTTTTTTTTAAGAGACAGGATCTTCCTATGTTGCCCAGGCTGGTCTTGTACTCCTGGGCTCAAGCCTTCTGCTTGCCTTGGCCTCCCACAGTGCTGGGATTACAGATGTGAGCCACCATGCGTGGCCTAGTTTTTAATTTTTATGATTAGTAATAAACCTATTTAACTTTGCTCAAAGATAGAATCCTCTGGCCTCCCCCCTGCTTTTTTAAATATTATGTAATACTTTTTTTTCTTTTTCTAAGATGGAGTTTCACTGTTGCCCAGACTGGAGTGCAATGGCACAATCTCGGCTTACTGCAACCTCTGCCTCCCGGGTTCAAGCAATTCTCCTGCCTCAGCCTCCTGAGTAGCTGGGAATGCAGGCACATGCCACCATGCCCAGCTAATTTTTGTATTTTTAGTAGAGACGGGTTTTTTCCATGTTGGCCAGGCTGGTCTCAAACTCCTGACCTCAGGTGATCCACCCACCTCGGCCTCCCAAAGTGCTGGGATTACAGGCGTGAGCCACTGCGCCCGGCCTTTTTATTCTTTTCTTTTGAGACAAGGTCTTGCTCTGTCACCCAGGTTGGAGTGCAATGGCGCGACTGCAGCTCACTGCAGCTTCGGTCCCCGGGTTCAAGCGATCCTCCCGCCTCAGCCTCCCGAGTAGCTGGGACACCCAGCTAATTTTTTTTTTTTTAGCAACACAGGATCTTACTGTGTTGCCCAGGCTGGTCTTGAACTCCTGGGCTCAAGCGATCCTTCCACCTTAGCCTTCCAAAGTGCTGAGATTATAAGTGTGAGCCACTACACCTGGCTAGATACTTACTAACACTATAAAACTAGTGATTCTTAGAAAATATTTTGGGAAATGCAACCTAGAAGCTTCTGAAGTGGGACTGTGTCTTGCTTACTGCTGAATGTGGTGCTTCCTATATATGCCAAGCTCCAAGTGGGACTGCTTGATTAAATCCAGGCCTTCAGCAGCTCTCCTGTCCTACAGGCATTGAGCCTCCACGGGAGTCTTTCAACCGCTGGATGCTGGAGCGCAAGGTGGTAGACAAAGGATCTGACCCCCTGTTGCCCAGCAACTGTGAACCAGTCGTGTCACCTTCCATGTTTCGTGAAATCATGAATGACATTCCCATCAGGTACAGCCCACAGCTGGGGATGACCCTGGGCCATTTGGTTTCTGTGCCCAGTCATGTATAGAAGGGCTCTAACTCTGCCCACTGTCTAACGCAGGTTATCCCGAATCAAGTTCCGGGAGGAAGCCAAGCGCCTGCTCTTTAAATATGCGGAGGCCGCCAGGCGGCTCATCGAGTCCAGGTTTGCCTCTGTCTCCTGCCCCAGGCAAGATGGGTCTGTGATCAAAGTGGGAGGTCATAGGCCATCTTGCCTGGTCTCATGCAGGGCTGTCGTTGCTCTTGGTGGCAGAAGTGGGGCCACCTCCCAAAGGCAGAACAAGGGCTGCGATGGAAGCTAGGGGTTGATGCCCAGGGAGCCCATGGAAGTGGAATGAGGAGGGTGGAGCCAAGCCATTCCTTTCTTCTACCCTCCCCTTGACTGGCAGGAGTGCATCCCCCGACAGTAGGAAGGTGGTCAAATGGAATGTGGAAGACACCTTTAGCTGGCTTCGGAAGGACCACTCAGCCTCCAAGGAGGACTACATGGTGAGTGGGTCCCCGGGTGAGAAGGCCAGTTTTAGGGCTCTGTGGCCACTTCCTCTAGGAAGCCTACTCTGCCTGTCCAGGCTGGGCAAGGCCTCCCCCAGCGGCCTATTCTTGTGGAATATGGCAGACGTTTGACGTTCATCAGTCCCCAAACTCATGATTGTGGAGATATTTCTCTAGGCTCCTGGCTTTCTCCCACAGAACATTTCCATTAACAGTCTTAATGGAGTCTTATGCTTGGCCACACACCACAGGTAGCCGCCTTTCAGCCTAATGAATGTTCCGCATCTCCCTTGAGTAGATTTTTGGAAACAGATTGACAGCTTGCTTTTTCTTGGGTGTGTGTATTCATATCATAGTTAAGAGCTACCATCAGATTCAATTCCCTACTCCTAATGTGTCCAAAACAATTCTGTTTTCTGGCCAAAACCTATCACTTCTTAAACCTCTCCACCAGCACTAGCAATGGGCTTTCTTTTCAGGACCATATTTCACAAGAGACAAGGTTTCGCACTTCACGATAGTAACTGTGTACTTGACACGTAGAGAGTGACAAAGGTAGGTGTACTCACTAGCCAGAGTGACTCATTCTCACTCTTCAGTTTTACACGTGATTCAGCAAAATTACAAATCCCGACAGTCATCTTTGCAAGTAGCTAAAAGCTCAAATCTCAAGTCTGCAGCAACCAACACTCTTTTGTAATTGTGTCTTTCCCCAATAGACTGCAAACACTGTAAGCTGGGACCATGCTGGTTTGTCTGTTTCTCCAGTAATTACCGTGGGATCTAGCAGTGTAACCCCAACAAAAGCTACTGGCATTTATTGTACACTTACTGTATGCCAGGCACTTGGTAAGCCCTTAAGGGAAATTATTACATTTAATATTCAAACTGCCCTGTTAGGTATCTTGTGTCCCCTTGGCACTTGAGGAATGATTCAGAGAAGCCAGGGGATGTGTCCAAGTGACACAGCTAGTCAGTAGCAGAGCTGGTTTCAAAACAAGGACTGCTGGACTCCAACAGCCCTGCGGTTACCTGCCAGCCCAGCTGAGCCCCTTTGGCCTCCACTAGCGCCCTGATCCAGAATATCTCCTCTAGGATCGCCTGGAGCACCTGCGGAGGCAGTGTGGCCCCCACGTCTCGGCTGCAGCCAAGGACTCCGTGGAAGGCATCTGCAGTAAGATCTACCACATCTCCCTGGAGTACGTCAAACGGATCCGAGAGAAGCACCTTGCCATCCTTAAGGAAAACAACATCTCAGGTAGGGGAAAGGTGGAGGAGGAGCCAGCTGTGATGCCATCAGCTCTATACCCTGATGGAAGGGACAAACGAGGCTGAGCCTTAAGGCCAGGGACTGGTTTGGGGCAGAACCTGCTGTGTCCTTTGGCTGTACTTCTCTGGGAAACAGGGAGGAGTGATAAAGGGAGAGCCAGATGGTGGTGGTGAAAGATAGGCTGGGAGTCGTAGTTAGGTGTACCCGAATTTACATCCATTCTCTGTAAGCCTCACTTTCCCCAGACTGAAGTACAGCACCTGGTGGTAGGATTGTGTGAGTACTCACAAGTAACTCAGGTAAACTGTGTGGCCCAAAAAGATCCCCAAATAAGGAATCGTCACTATTACGATGGTGGCAATGCATTTCTTGTACTTCTGCCCAGCAGCAGGACCCATAGGCCTGAGCCTTCTTGCCTACCAGCCCAAGGCACGGCATACAGGGGCCTGCTTCGGTACTGAGCGTGTTGACACAGGCCACCTGTTTCTGCCCCAGCCAATTGTCTGGCTGGTTTCTTTTTATGGCTTTCATTCCCTTTCTACTGAACTAGGCCACACTATACTGATCTGTGAAATGGGACTTCCCTCTCTCAGTACAAAGCATGTGGCCCACAGTGGCTGCAGCATGAGAATGAGGAGTATGGTCCCTCACTGCTCTCCCTGCCCACAGAGGAGGTGGACGCCCCTGAGGTGGAGCCCCGCCTCGTGTACTGCTATCCAGTCCGGCTGGCTGTGTCTGCACCCCCCATGCCCAGTGTGGAGATGCACATGGAGAACAACGTGGTCTGCATCCGGTATAAGGGAGAGATGGTCAAGGTCAGCCGCAACTACTTCAGCAAGCTGGTAAGAGCTACGGGGAGGAAGTCCCTAGCTGATGGGATCTTTCCTGAGCAGAGTCCCCAGCAGGAGACCAGTGATGAGGACATGGGGGAGCACTGCTGAAGGCCACTCCTCTCTGTCCCACCCCACAGTGGCTCCTTTACCGCTACAGTTGCATTGATGACTCTGCCTTTGAGAGGTTCCTGCCCCGGGTCTGGTGTCTTCTCCGACGGTACCAGGTACAGGCCTGGGGCAGCAGGGAGGGCTCCCCAGGAGGGAACAGGGAGGGCGAGCCCCAGGCGCTGACTATGGCCACTCCGCAGATGATGTTCGGCGTGGGCCTCTATGAGGGGACTGGCCTGCAGGGGTCGCTGCCTGTGCACGTCTTTGAGGCCCTCCACCGACTCTTCGGCGTCAGCTTCGAGTGCTTCGCCTCACCCCTCAACTGTTACTTCCGCCAGTACTGTTCTGCCTTCCCCGACACAGACGGCTACTTTGGCTCCCGCGGGTGAGGGCCAAGGGCTGCCCTCTACCCAGGCCAGGGAAGTGGTCCTCCAGAGCACCGGGCCCGCCTCTGCTGGCTGCTTCCTGGACTGTAGTGTCAGGCAGGCTTGGGTGGAGTCCCTGCCTCCACCTCTTACCAGCTATGTGATCTTGGACATGTTGCTTAACTTCTGGGAGTCTGAGCTTTTCTGGCTCTGTGGGCAGGCATGTGACACCCCTAGCTGGCCTCTGGGTTTCTCAGTGAGTCAGCTCAGGATGGAATAGGAACACGTGGTCCCGGGCCCTGAGAGGAGTGAGAAGTGGGGCCACAGACCTCAGAGGCCTTACAAACTAGGGGTAGGGGTGAGCACAGATGAGAGAACGTAATGCTGTCTCCAGAAGGAAGAATGGCCAGGACCTCCAGAGGTCCAGAGCTCAGCAGCTGGGGATCCTGGGTGCAGCTTCTGCTGTAGCGGTAGTGGTGGGCTCAGAACTGGATTTGAATGCCAGCTTGGTGAACACGGGCATCCCAGCCTGAGCCTCGTTCACTGTCTTCATTCATTCAGTGGAGACGGTTATGCCTTGTGCCCCAGTGAATTAGGGTGAATGCTGGCTTCTGGAGAGGCCATCTCTTCAGTGTGGCTGCCTAGGGTTGAGGATGGCACCTGTTTCTGGTTGAGGGACTGGGTCCTGATAGGACTTAAAATGCTCACTCCTGTCCCCAGGCCCTGCCTAGACTTTGCTCCACTGAGTGGTTCATTTGAGGCCAACCCTCCCTTCTGCGAGGAGCTCATGGATGCTATGGTCTCTCACTTTGAGGTGGGTGCACTGCCAGCGTGAGGGGTGGGCAACAGGGCAGGATTGCCAGCCACCTGGGAGGCAGCCCCTGACGTCCACCCTGTGTCCCCTTCCACAGAAACTGCTTGAGAGCTCACCGGAGCCCCTGTCCTTCATCGTGTTCATCCCAGAGTGGCGGGAACCCCCCACACCAGCGCTCACCCGCATGGAGCAGAGCCGCTTCAAACGCCACCAGTTGATCCTGCCTGCCTTTGAGCACGAGTACCGCAGTGGCTCCCAGCACATCTGCAAGAAGTGGGTGCCAGGGAGGGCAGGGGACGGAGGCTAGGCTGGCCAGGCCAGGCCCAGCCCCACCCTGAGCCATTGCCTTTGCCCGCAGGGAGGAAATGCACTACAAGGCCGTCCACAACACGGCCGTGCTCTTCCTACAGAACGACCCTGGCTTTGCCAAGTGGGTGCCAACGCCTGAACGGCTGCAGGAGCTGAGCGCTGCCTACCGGCAGTCAGGCCGCAGCCACAGCTCTGGTTCTTCCTCATCGTCCTCCTCGGATGCCAAGGACCGGGACTCGGGCCGTGAGCAGGGCCCTAGCCGCGAACCTCACCCCACTTAACATACCCTGCGGGGAGGAGGAGCCCCAGGGGTGCTGGTCTGGACTGCTGGGACTCAGTCCCCTGGGGCCTGACAGGGACCCCGCTGCCACTGACATAGGAAGATTATGGTTCTGCCAGGGCTCCCCTCCCTGCCTGTCCCCAACTCCTCACCTCAAACTCCCTCCAAGTCCCATGTATATAGGTCCTGATGCCTTCCCAACCCCACCCCTCATCCTGTTGCCACCTTGTTTCATTTGTAAAAGGAAATACAGAAACCCCCCCAAGAATGTGTGAGGGTCTTGAGGGCAGAGAAGGCTGAGGCAGCTGGAGCTACTTCTGGGACCACACTCCCCTCCCTCCAGCAGCTCCTTCTCATGGTCCCTGGACCTTCACTCCCCAGCTGGGGCTCCCACACAGCTGGGTCCCTGGTGGCCTCTGCCTGGGCTCAGCAGGTCCGAAGAGTCCAAGGCCCTGCATCCCCTAGCTCCAAACTCCCCCAGCAGGGCCTGCATGGATACCCCTGGGGATCAGAGGACTGGGAGCTGTGCCTGTCCCCAACCCAAAAGCCAGACTCTCGCTGGCCTTGGATCCCCACAGTGAGCAGACAGCTGGGTGTGCCTCACAGTCGAGGATCAGGAGAGCAGCCTCGGGACCTGTAGGCACAGAGCGCATGCTCCCTAGGGCCCAGGGAGGAAGCAGGTCTGAAGGTGCTTGCTGGGGCTCTCGCTGGTTCAGCCGTCTCTCTCATTGCCAGGCCTCTGCAGCAAGGGTCTGCCCTGCTGGTGGATCACTGGACTTAGAGAGGCAGGGCAGGGCAGGTCATGCTGTGGAGCCAGACAGCGTCCACCTCAAAAGATCTGGCCTGGTTCAGGCTGCAGCAGCAAGCAGACAAAGTAAGCTGTTCAGGACTGGACTCCAGTCCCTTTATTGAGACTGAGAGGCCAGTGGGTCCACCCAAACAAAAATAAATTTCTATCCCAAAGCCTGCCTGCAGGCTGGGGCACCCAGCACGTCTTGGCCGGGGCCCATGGCTGCCCCTAACTGCAACAGCACAGGTCTGGCTCCCTAGGAATGAGAGGATGCTGGCTGTCCAGTATCTGGAGATACTAAATGAAGAGGGAGGTGAGTCCTGGTGGCCCCCCACCCCCGGGAGGGCTGGCCTCAAATCCATGATCTGTGTCGGGCCCTCAGGGCTCAGTCATCGGCCAGGGTGATGACGTCGTACTCGATGCCCTGGTGCTGCAGCTGTTGAATGTGTTCAGGCACTGCCTCCTCTGTGCCAAACAGGCCTTGGGCTTGGGCCATGGCAGCATCAGCCACTGCTGCCAGGGGAGGGGAAAGTATGGTGAGCTAGAGGCTCAGGAGCTGGGTCCAAACCCAGCCCTGTGCTCCTCAGGGTCCAGCTCCATACCTGTGACAGCCGAGTGTGCTGCAGCCTCAAGTTGAGCCTGTGTGACAAGCTGCTGGCCTGGGGACACAGGCACATACTGGATCTGGAGGGGAAAAGCTGATAAGATGCTGGCCTGCAGAAACCCTGCCTGTGCCCCAGGTCTCCCTGTCCTCCCAGGGTCCTACCTGGGACTCCTGAAGGAACGGGGCTCCTTGTTCATACTGGATGTGTGTGATCTGGCCCTCCTGTACCTGCAGAGAGGAAGCCAAGCTGTGATTCTGGGAAGAGATCATGCAGCCCCTCACCACACCCCACCCTCATCCCAGGGTGTGGTCTACCTGGATGTGATGGCCCTCGGGGACCACAACATATTCCTGGGGGAGCAGGTGCTGGACACCATCCTGGGAGATGATATACTGCACCTGTGGGCGGGGGGGAGGGTGGCAGTGGTGGCAAGGAGGCAGGTGCTGAGGCCTCGTTCTCCAGGAGCTCAGCTAAGAAGGCAGAGTGGAAGACTAGGAATAGCCACCAGCAACAATGCAGTTGTTGGCAAGCATGGACCCCAGGAGGGGTGGTTTGGAAAGTATCATTCCTCCCCAAGGCGGGTCTTTGGTTGGGAAGGTAGGTCACAGCTAAGGGCATCAACAGTAGCTAGCAGCTCACCTGGTTGTCGGAGGTCACCAGGTGCTGTACGGTCTGGCCATCTGCTGTGGTGATCTCTTGGATGTAGGTGGCTTCCTCCTGCCAGGACCAAGCCAGCTCTAGCCTCATTTCTCTAACCCAACCCCAACCCCTGCCTGTCACTAGCCAGAGGGCCCCCAGTCCTGACTCTTACCTGATTGGTCACTGTCTGCTCCTGGGCAACAATGATATGTTCCTGGCCCAGCGCCTGCTGTAGCCGCTCTGGGCCCAGGACCCCGTGACTGGACTGGAGTGCAGCTGGGCAGAGAGGAGAGGATGCTCACGTGAGGTCCAGGAAAACCTGCAATGCCCCAGCCTCTACTGTGCCCAGAGGTGCCTTTTGGGGCAGTGGCCCAAGTCTCTGGATCTACCCTGGTGCCCACCCTGTGGCCCCAAGTGCAGCTCACTGTGCAAGGTGGCCAGTGTTTCGTCATCACTGTTCAGGATGATGGTCTGGGTTGGGGTCTGGGTAGCAGCCCGGGCTGTAGGGGTTCCTGACTTCCTCCCATCAGGACTGTGCAGCCGCTGGATATGGAACTTGAGGTGCCCGTTACGGTTGAAACTGAAGGGGATGAAAGGTGGCTCAGGTTAGCTCCAGCATACATGCCCAGCGGTCCCCACCCATCGGTATGTGGCCTCACCGCTGCCCGCAGAGGTGGCACGCAAAAGGCTTCTCCTTGGTGTGAGTCAGCATGTGCCGCCGCAGGTCCTTCTTATTCTTGGAGGCGAAACTGCACTGGCTACACTGGTGGGGCCGCAGGCTTGAGTGCTGCGCCATGTGCGCCTGCAGAGGGCAGAGTTGGGGGCATCAGCTGGGTCAGGACAGATGGCAACAAATCCCCAGATCCCTGCCGACAGCTGGTCAGGGAACCAGGCAAAGCGGACCTCGGAAAAGCAAAATCCTATGTACTAACAAGAAGCTGGGTAGAAAGGCCAAGCCAGATCCACATCTGGTGCTGCTGTGTCCTAAAAGTGAAAGGCCATAGGTTCCATCATTATTAGGTCAATTGGAAAATTTCAGTTTACCCATCTGTAACTTAGAGGTGTTGGATGAGGGGACCTGTGCAGGTCCCATCGGGGTTTTGTTTTTGTTTTTTTTTTTGAGACAGAGTTTTGCTCTTGTCGCCCAGAGGTGGAGTGCAGTGGCGTGATCTCAGCTCACCGCAACCTCTGCCTCCTGGGTTCAAGCGATTCTCCTGCCTCAGCCTCCCGAGTAGCAGGGATTACTGGCATGTGTCACCACGCCTGGCTAATTTTGTATTTTTAGTAGAGACGGGTTTTCTCCATGTTAGTCAGGCTGGTCTCAAACTCCCGACCTCAGGTGATCCACCCGCCTCGGCCTCCCAAAGTGCTGGCATTACAGGCATGAGCCACTGCGCCTGACCTGGGCCCTGATTTTCTAGGGTTGAGGCCTGCCTGATGGAGCCTCCACCTCTGCATCTGTAGGGGTGGGGCTCTAGGCCCTGCTTCCCTCTCTGACCTCTGGGGAGGATGCAGTGCGTGACTGGATCTGAAAACTGGAAATCCTCAGGCAAACAGGGAGGCCCCAAGCTGGGCTATGAACCTGCCCACTAGCCTTCTCTATGGTGGCTCCCCAACTACCTCAAACTTCTGTGCCCTCAGTATTCTAGACAAGTGGTCCCCAACCTTTTTGGCACCAGGGACTGGTTTTATGGGAGATAATTGTTTCACGGCATGTGCAGGGTGATGGTTTTGGGATGAAACTGTTGCACCTCAGATCATCAGATACTACTTAGATTCTTATAAGGAGTGTGTGATCTAGATCCCTTGTATGCACAGTTCACAATGGGGCTGTGTTCCTATGACACTCTAATGCAGCTGCTGTGACAGGAAGTGGAGCTCAGGCTAATGCTTGCCCACCTGCCGCTCACCTCCTATGTGGCCTGGTTCCTGACAAGCCATAGATGGCTACTGGTCTGTGGACCAGGGGTTGGGGAACACTGTTCTACACGTTCAAGTCTCCCTAGCCATGCCTCTGTCTCACACCTCTGTGCCTTTGCTCTTGGAGGCCCAGCTTGGCCATCCCTCCTGTGGCATTTTCCCCAGCACACTCAAGTTCAAATGACTTGCTCTCTGCCCTGCACCCTTGGTTCACACTCGGAACACTGTCTGGCATTAGTCACATTGTGTCTGGTTTGCCTCCCCACCAGACCAAGCTCCCTGAGAGCTGGGACCTTGCTGAGTCATCTCTGACCAATCTCATCCACTCAGAGGGGGGCAAAGGATCTGGTTTGAAAGGGCACTCATTAAAGGTTTGTTATACAAATGTGTGGCCCAATGAATGACAGCAGAGACACAGGAGCGCCAGCACCTACCCGGACCTCGGGCCACTGGCGGGCACTGAAGGGGCAGTCGGGGCACTTGAAGGCACCAGGCCCAGCATGGGCCCGCTTGTGACTCTCCATCTCAGCTCGGCCAGGGAAGGCCTCGGCACAGATCTTGCAGGAAAACTTCTTTGATGCTGCAGTGGCTGCACACGGCGGTGAGGGGGGCACTGCCAGGCCCAGGGCTTTGCTGGTTGCAGGAGGTGGGGAGGCAGAGCTCGGGGGGTCCCCTACACGGTGGGTGTTGGCTGGAGATGGAGGCTCAGGGCCATCTCTAGGCAGCCCCCCACACTGCAGCAGGGGCCATTTGGCACCAGAGGCCAGAGCATCTGGACTTGGGAAGGAGATGGAGCCATCTGCGGTGAGCTGTGGAGAGACAGGGAGCATGAGGTGCTGAGAAGGGGAGGGAGGTAGAGGAGTGGTTGGCATCCCCAAGCCTCACCTCAATGTGGTGCAACTGGGTACCATCAGTAGCCATGATGTAGTGGGTGCCAGCTTCTTTTAGGGTGTCACTCACAACCACAGTCTGGGCTGCCTCTCCTGAGGGTTCCTCGCTGTGGGCACGGAGAAGGTTCTAGGAGAAGATGGAGGGCCACAGGAGCCCCCTTCCCCAAGCAACAGGCATCAACTGAGGGATGACTGTCACCAAAGATGGACTCAAGTCAGAAGGGCCTAGGGTTCAACTGTGGCTCTGCCCTGTTACCAAATGACCCTCTACCGTCTCTCTTGTAAATGATTACAACTCAAGCATAGGTCCTTCTCAAAAACGGGTCATCCTTGTCCTCCTTGGTAAACATGGCAAGGTGGGGGGCACAGAGTGAGGTAGAGGGGTCCAACCCAAGTCTGGCCAAGTTGAGCAGGACAGGGGGAC